GTATCGTTTACCGTTTGAAAGCTCGATGCACGGAGATCGATAGATCTCGATTACGTTCGTACACCCCTTATTTCACGGGCAAAATCTATCACGCGCAAAGGAAGATCGATAACATTCGATTCGAATCCTCGCGAATATTCTCCGAGCACGAACAAAACTGCCTTTTCCCCTTTTTACCGCGAAACGAAAGCTGTCGTTGGAAATTCGCGATGCTGCGAATTAATTACCACACGAAACACCGATTCCACCGAGCTCGTGGATGGATCGTCGAGTGAACGTCGAACGCACGTACGCGAATCGCGCGCTTTTTGGAGCTTCTTGTCCGGAAGCGTGAATGGAAAAGCACGTTTTCCCAATCTCCACGCGTCTTGGCCATCCCCCGTCATCCCCACCACCCCTTGTTCGGTTCGCTCCTCCAACTTTTGCTCTCCTCGGTCTCCTCTTTATCTCTAGAACGGAGGTTGCGAGCTCGCACGAAGATTATCGAGCTTGCACGAAGCGGGGGTGTCGGGAAAGTGGGGTGTGTGGGTAGAGGTCTGGACGTACGCTAGAGACTTGCAGGCTTCGGGGGGAGGGGGAGAGTAGTGGCGGTAGGGTGAGTTTGGGGCGCAGGTTGGAACGAGAATGGTATCCGTGCGCGAAAGCTCATTGGCAGCATCCAGTGTCATCGCGGAGCTCGGGACGCGCGCTTCGTTATTCGTCGGGGAGCTTTCGTCGACGCGTCGAGATTCAAAGTCAACGTCGCGCGACTCGGCGTACACCATCGTCGTCCAGGTATCGAAGCGTCCTCTCGCTCGGCATCCCCTTTTCCTCGATCCTCCTTCTCGAGGATCGCCGAGAGAAATTTCGCCGTTCGTCAGGCTAGTTTACTCGTGGAAAAACTCCGATCTTTCCAAGTGGATACGCGATGGCCTGCTCGGTTGCGACTCGGTGAGCTTTTTCCCACCGCATCCGACGCGACCACGGAGCAAAGTCGTGGACGAGATCATCCGAGGGATCGATGGAAGTAGTGCGCGAGAGTACGACAGGAACTCGAGAGCGGTGCGGAATAGAGATGTCGATGCAAGTTCGTGGTGACTGAGTAACGCGAGCGAGTGTGCCCTTTCGGACGACCGATGACAGGAGATAGTAGCACGTGTTCGAGGCGCAGTTTGGCCAGGACTTGAATTCACCCTCAGGCTATTCCGCCAAGACGATGTTGTGAAAAGTGTGAAAAACAGCCGTGCGTCGTTCGGAATACGAGTATCGGTGGCTGTTTGAAACGGAAGCCCGAGGATTACCACCGTGACCCAGGTAAACGGTCGTTCGCTTGCTCCGAAACATCCTGCCAGGCCGTTGTTCCCGCTATAATTTCCACGTGAAACGTCAAGCGACGGTTTAGCGAACGATAAATTTGCCCGCGGCTCGTAGCTTATATTACAAATTCCATTCCCGATAACGTATCGATTCGACTCCAGAAATGTTTAGCAAAATCGACAGGGTAAACGAGGAAGATTCACGATAACGCTTCGGCTGACCTCTATTTCATTTTATCCCGCCGCTGTGTACAACCAGAGCGTCGAACCAAGCCTGAACCCGCTATTTATTTCGATCAAAGCGAAAGAACAAAAGGATCAAAGATCGTGCGCCACTCTTTTCCCTGTGACTGTGACAAATGGGCGAAAAGAAGAAAGGAAGAGAAAAGAAAAGAAAGAACTAGAAACCAACTACTTAGGCTCGCGCCTATGTCAACGTTCGTTAAAATCCGTCCTGCCATTTCTGATCGGCGTGTTTTGATTCTCGCGAATTTTTATCCGCCGGGAGGAGGAGGGTGTGTTAGGTCTTTTTCCGAAATGTTGACGAATGTCGACCATTTATCAGTGCCGGGCTGGATCCTTGTCAACGAGCAGGACAGAAACGATATCGCGAATTACGCTTGCTCGATTTTATTTCTATTTTTGTTCGCGTCGATTGCGCAGCGAGGGTGTTGCCAATGAACGCGGAGATTCGTTGGTCGCTGGTCGATAAAAAATAATACGTTCCAGCCGACGATGCGCGAAGCGACAATCATCGTGCCATTTGTTCGTCGTTGCTGCAATCGCTCGCATGCCTACGTTTCCCTGCCGACTCTTCGTATCTACTGCTCGTACTACGCCTACGCGAGCCGAACGGAAACGATCGCGCGAGCCCGAGTTTCCGATCGCGGCTCTTTCATCCACCGGGCTGGACGCCATCGCGCGATCTCTAACGATATCGTTACGTAATGCGCCATTCCACTCGCACGTCTTCCTTCGCTTCTCTCCGCTTCCATCGGTTTGCGCTCGTTACGAGGCTCCGTAGGTCGTCGCGAAATCGAGACGAATGCCTCGATGCCTGGGACGCGAGCCGAAATGCAGGTTTCGCGAAAGTTACCGGGATCGGGGTAAAAAGTATTTAATAAAGCGAGCTGGTCGAATGCGAGTCTGCGCGACGCGAGTATCGGTATGTTAGAACGGGGCAGGGAATTGCACGGGAAAGAAGTTTAACTCTTAAAACGGAGTCTCTTCGGGAATGGCTTTATGGTGGCAAACTTGGAGAATGGAGTGCGCTTGATGAACGAAAGTACAAGTAACTGCCTATTCGAAACTTCCGAAATATGCCGCGTTGCACGGTAGCCGTGGTACAAGCAAAGTTCGAACGAGAAAAAACCCGGTGTGTACCCTATATGCACTCGGGGCAAATTAAGCACTCCGTTATAATTTACTACGATAGTTGGCATACTTCTGATCCCCGGTAGTCGAGAACAACCCGGCGAGTTTCTTACGAATAATTTCCGTGCAATCGCTCGAGCGTTTAAGACGTCCTCGTAGTAGAGCCCGGGAATAACTTTGTCGATTCTTCCGAACGTTTATTCGCCGACTTTCGTTAAATTTCCTCGTAGCACCCGGGCACACTTGATCCGAGATCGAACCGAACATCGCGAGAAGGGAAAGGCGAAGGACTTCCTCTCTCTCTCTCTCTGTGTGTGTTTTCTTCGGGATTTTCTAAACGAGATTAAGGATAAACCTGTTAGGCCACTAAATCCAGGTGCGAAGAAAACGTTTCCCTCGGATCGGACTCGAAAAATTAGCCCCGCCTTAAGAGCATTAGGCTCTCGTCGGACGATTGTCGCTCTTTGACGTCGATGAACCTTTAGAAATCCGAAAGCCGCTATTCAATGGATCTCGCTCGTATTCGAGCTCGCTAATGGCCATTTAACAGCTTCGTGAAAAGACTAGGAGAGCGACACCGACTGTTCCACACCTCGTCTATCCAACTTTTCGGCGACGACGTCGCCACAGTCAGTCAGCCGACGTCCATCACGAGAATGTCATCGTCGCCTCGACGAATTGGTAATTCGAATTTCCAGTGGAATTTCGAGAATCTCCTTTCGTTCGGATCGTTTCGCGAACGCTAGAGAACGCCGCGTAGGTAGTTGGAAGGCGAGACGCTGTGTCTTCGGGTGCAGCAGGAGAAGTTTGCGAAAAGGAGAGGCAGCGTGTTTCCCGTGAAACTTCGTGCTGAAATCGTAACACGAATCAAGTGGACAATAAAGTCTCCCTATTTTGTCGAACATGCATTTCCAGTGGACAGATCCCGAGTCACGTATTTGGTGTACGATAGTCGGGCGCGGAAGTGGAGAGAAGTAAGTTCGTGTGTCCGACGTGGAACACATCGAAAAGACAACTCCCTTTTCCGTTCGTGGTACCGATACGGCAACGACGGTTCCCTCCTACGTTTCCTGCGAGCATCCCGAGAGAAAGGGTGGACGAGTAAAAAGTACTTACAAAGTGTCGTAGACAGTGAACGTGTTCCGTAATGCCGGTGCAACGGTAGCAGCCGTGGAGCGATAATGCCGATCACGGAAATCGAATTCGGCCCGACGCGGGTTCGTCGTCCTTCCTCCCGTTTTCGCTCGCAAACGCGTGCCACGATTTAAAGTATCGCTTCATAAATCATAAACTAGAGTGTTCCGGGGATCCTCCAACGGTTTACGATCTATTTGCTCGCGAATATGTTTACGTAGCTTTAAATCTCGATCGCGTGGGTGAGCGTCGTTCAAAGCGTCCGCAGCTCGTAGCTCGATATTACCCTCTGCGTGGCTCTCTTTATACGATCGTTCGTGTGTGGCAAGCTATCGCGGTAAAAGCAATCTTTGCAAAGTATCGATTTAGATCCTCCTTCACGCGAGAAAGAATCGCGGTAAACGTGATTCTTCTTCTTCGCCAAAAAATCGGTTCGCGAGAGAAACCGCGAGATCGTTTATTGCTCGATACCGAGTCGGGCGGATGGATCGACGACGTTGCGAGAAACTTTCCAAAGTCCCCGGTATATCGTCGTTTCGAAAGTTCATCTAGGATTATTTAGAGAAACTTCGATCAGAGCCTGGAGAATGACAAACGTCGAGGAAAAAATGAACGCGGAAGACTATTCACGATCGAATCTTGCAGCGGCGATGACGCCCAGAGGTGGTAGTAGTCATGGGCTAATCCGACCGAATGGAATTCCATTCGGCTTCCTCCCGTTCTTCGTTCTCTCGTTCCGTGGCAATTCGTGGCAATTCGATTTTCGCCAAAGCACCGGTAACCACGTTGTTATTAATTTCAGCGGCACTTTTGATCTCTCGCTTTGTTCATCCTCGACTCTCGCATTCCTCCTCCCGGCCCGGTTCTCTACTGGAAAATTACGCGGCAACGATGGGTGCCCGCGGAAAAAAAGAAAAACTGCCGCGATTAGCAACCGTAATCCGAAGAAAATTAATTTCGCTGGTAAAAGGTAACCCCCTCTCGCGATGCTCGGTCGAACATCGATCGGCGACGAGGAGAGAAAGAGAGACGACGACGTCGACGATGAACCCGGTGGACGAACCATGTTTAAATAACTTTATCGTGCTTTGTTGATAGACAAGAGAGTCTGGGATCCCGCGAGCCTCGCTCGGAGTACAAGACGTAAACGTCGTTAGGATGGTTCGAGGGTGAAATTGTCAAGAGACGTTCATCAGTATGCTGTGGATATTGATCGCCGTGACGTGCATCGAGCTATCGACCTTTGCCAACGCACAGTCGAAAAAAACCACGTCTATGCAGGAAGATGCGAACAACACCGAACCGGATCATCCGAGTAAGTAGCATTGTCATTTTCGCGAAAAACGCCTGTCCGCCCGACGCGGACTGTCAAAATTCGTTGCTCGCGTTACACCGACACGCGCGATAATGAAAAATGTGGCCACGCACGGGCGCAGAGAATCGGGAACGTCGGGCTGCCGAACGAGCGTGTCGGTGGCACTTGCAACGAAACCGCACGATGCTCGATACGCCAGTGTGTGCCGGGGTATTTTCGATTCGCCAAGCGAGATATCAAAATAATGCAAAGTTTTCTCCGCGCGCGTACGCACACGCGTACGTTGTCGCGTAGAAAGAAAAACAATTTGTTAAAATGGTTGCGGGAACGTGCTTCGCTCGGGTATGTTCTCTTTTGCTCGTTGCGACGTGCAAACCGGGCGGAGGATAGGGGTAACCGAGGAAATAGAGAGACTACTCGCACAAATTACCGCGAGCAACTTTTTCGATAATTTATTCGCGCGTTTCCCGTACACCTCGGCAAAATATCGAAATTAACGCTTAACGGGTACGTACGCGCGCAACTCGAAAGTTTTCTCGACACGCGTGCTTGCGTAACGAGCGACATACGATCCTGGAAGGGTGCGCGGTTTTTCATTTTTCATCGAAAAGCGAGGAAATAAATAAATCGGATTTGCTCGTGAAGCGGAAGGAAAACGAAAGTGGACGGAGAGTAAATGACGACGAAAGTTGGAAAGTTCAGACACGAACCAGTTGCTTTATTTCCGCGAAGATGGCCGATCCGTCGGAGCCGAACGTTACGGTTATGCGATCTCGGCGGTCAAAGTACGCGGTAAGATGGCCAATGAATCGCGAGAGTTTGCAACGGGGATTTAACGGATTAGTCGGGGTCTATAGAGCGTGCACTTTATAAGTCCTGGATGAAACCAAACTAATTAGATATGTATGGTCGGAGCGTCGCCGTGGGACATATAATTAATGCGGTGCACCGGCTAAATGAGAAATTAATTACGATATGGAAATCAGAAGGATCCCACGGCCTGGTTTACCAACGTTACCCAGGGACTCGAGTCCCGCCGGATATACGTTTCTTTGACGCAGACGCACGTGCAGAACGTGAGCCGAGACGAGGCACGTGTTACGAAAGGAGGACGATGCACATGTGCCGGCTAAAACTCGGATTCTACTCCTTCCGCCAAGACACACAGGGTGAGGAGGCAGCGCGAGGAAGGGAGAGAGAGAGGGAAGAGGGAAAAGCCAGTTCGTCGATCGCGAAATCCACCGTCACGTCGAAAAGGCTCAAAGTCGCTTTCGTGCCATCACCCGAACGCGATCGTTCTTTTTCTTCGGCACGTGCACGAACAAGCAAGCGCGCGCGCAAGCCTTCTCGAGGAATTTTCAACCAGAGACACCTACTACTACTACTCGACTACTCGTCTCTCTCCTCTCTGGCCCACGGCCTCGATGCTCGTAACCGTTTGGAAAAGTGGTTTCGACCGAAACGCGTTTCGCTAGACGGTTAAATATTAGGGTTAAGAGTTAAGGATCGAGTTAACCCTGTTGTTGAACCGGGGCCAACGAAACTATACACGGTTTACTCTACACGCGCGCTCCACCAGCCACCACGTAGCCACGAACTTCTTGCATGTGTCGCTAATCTCGTTGAAAAGCGAAACCCACCGACGTCCGCGTCTGCCTCGAATTAGTTTTCCAAATTTGGATTTCCACGGTCGGTCGAGCCACCGGAAACGATCCGAGCGGGCAAACTCGAGGGCGGCTAGAAACGACGGAGAAACATCGTTCCGATGTATCAGCGGGACGGTATTAAGGTAATGCCGCAGTTGCCGAAGAAAGTAGCGAGATTCTTCCGATAATTAGATCGAGAATATTCTCCGAGATTGCCGGGAGACAAAGTTCCCTCGGTCGTCCGTAATCTCGATGATCAATCTCGTCGGTCGATTCCGCGAAACGAAGTTCGAGTCAATTAAACGGAGCACTCTGGATATCAACGAATTCGAAAGAATGCCTCTGTTCCTCGCACCGAGTGTCGAGGAATTTCATCGCTTCGTCCAGGAACCGATTAAGCTTTCCTCGATGAAAGCTCTGGCCAGGGCTGAGCGCGCGCTTTACCTATTAACGAGCCCCGGGTACGGGGGGGTAACGCGCGTTGCGCCCAGGTCCGACGGTTGCTCGGAGCAAGGACGCTGCAAGCACGAGAGAACGTTGTTCGATTTTTGAAATTTACATCGTAGGGCAACGACATCGAGATACCGGTTTCCTGTCGCTAACGAGTTTACGAGTCTACTAAACTGTTTTCTTTAGTGGACTCGAGCAACGATTCTAGTGGTCTGGCAGACTTTTCAGCAGACTCGGGTCTACGTACACCGCGGCGCAATCTGCTTGCACGATTATTGGATTGCAGTCTTCGCAAACAAACGGGAGTAACGCGTAAATTCGAAACGCGAGTGCGCGCGCGCGGTTAACGTAAAAGTCGATTCAAGGACAGGTGCAGCTACTCTACGTTGCTACCGATAGAAATTTCTCCTCGTAACATACCGGCGGCGCGCTGTAAAAGCTCGTTTACTCGCGCAGACCGTTTATTCTTCGGTTGCCTTTTTCGCAACGATAAAAAACGCGAGTAGCAGAGGAGAGTAACGCGGACCGACGCATTTAAAGGTCTTACAACACTTTGTCGTTGGAACGCCCAAGACGCGGAGAGACGGGAGCTGAAAAATCTACGGTAAATACACCCACCTTTAAGTATCCTTTCGAAGGGTGGAGGATGCTCGGGCGTTGAGAAGGGTTCGGCGCGAAGGGAAAAAGAGAAGCGAAATATCGCGGAAAAATTACCTCCCCGAGGGGACGCCGAAATGGAGAGAGAGTTTAGATAAAAATTTCCTACGTTTGTCACGGTCCTTCCTAATTAAAGGTTCCGAGATTAATGCCGGTAATTTTCCACAGCCCCGGGCAATCGATACCTTCTCGCTTGGACCTTCCGAGCAACGAATCCTCGTCGTATTTCGCCCCCGATGTCCATTTTCCAAGAAATCACCCTTCGAATATTCCTTCCTGCCGGAGCAGTCGCGTCGTCCTTAAAACTTGCCGGCTCGTCGACGTCGTCGATATCTATCCTTCGCTCGTTCCTCCACCGAGAAATTACGCGCGTGCACCCTCCTCCCCATCGAGCAATCCTATCTTTCCAAAGGTCGATTCGACGAAAGCTCGTTAAAAGTCGAAGGAACGACCAGCGGACGGTATAATTAAAAGCGCGAGAGTTCGCTGAAATGGCCAAAGCTCGCCGCCAGAACAGCCCCCGATTAGTCCGCGGGGCGCGATACTCGGGATTCGCGTGGAACGGGTCTAGAGAAACGAGCGGTACATCGGTCTACGCGACTTTAAACCGTCTAATGAAGTTCGTTACATCGAGACCGCGTACTTATTTCGGATACAGTTAAGCAGCTTTCAGCCCACGAGCGTCTCTTCTTGTTGTTTCGGCAGGAGCGGCGTAACACGGGACCCAGCTGGTTACTCGGAACAACGATCAAGCCGCTCTAACGAGTGTTTAAACTAAGCTTGTTAACCATCGCGAACGAACAAGAAGCATCGAAGTGAAACGGACGCGTGTGTTAAACCGGCTCGTGATTCGCCCCTTCCGCAACCAGCTGCCACACGCACACCCCCGTCGAGTTTCTTTCGGACGACTGTAACAACGCGGTGTCGAGGGAAAAGTGCGTGTAAAATAACGCGATTATTAATCCAACTATAGTCACCGTATAGTGCTCAGATTTGTTCGCAAAGAATTACAAGCGTTATCGGGATGAACGGTTTTTCTTTTCGTCTTCTCCTTTCCTTTTTTTTTTTTTTTTTTTTTTTAAA